TTCGCGACACAACACAATTTAGCCTTTTTCGTGAGGCGGCGTGCCGAGCCAACTCGTCGCCCATTGCAACTGTCTGGATGCCACGAGCCTCCCCGTGTGAGCTCCTTGTCGATCTCATACGTGGACGTCGTCTTAATGAATATTCTATACACAAAGGACGGCCAGTGGTGATTGTGCACATGGCTGTAAACGGGCACATGCTACGCATTTCATTAGAGAACCACTTACTACTTACGCCACCAAAGAAAAAAACAGAGAGATGTCGAACTCGGGCGCAGAAGCACACAAAAAACAACCAGCGTTGTGCACATGAAGTTCCGGTGCAAACTCCTGTGTGCTCAACTTTGGAAGCAATGTGTGGAGACAGACACGGAACGCGGAGGTGATTGAGTCGTGATTAAAGCACGATATCAAAAGAGATCGCTCGATTCGCAGCCTGATGCCTCAGCGGATGACTATCGTGCAAGCGCTAGGCTTCCAAACTCGTCCTGACGCCGTGCCTGACCCGATCAACTATTCACATCACTTGTTTGACTGACTCACTGCTATAGCCACTAGTTACCAATTATACATGTCTCCAGCGCGTCTTCTTCCATGCTTGTTTTACCTCTACACGGACTCCATTGTGCTAAGTCTACCGCTGCAGTGCACCATGTAATAGGGACAGCAATAACAGTGAGAGGCAGTGTACTTGGTTCTGTAAAGACTGGACTCGCATGACTTGGCTCATCAACCGCGAGCAAAGAGCTACCTTCGTCTTAGAGACCGCCAGATCGGTATGAACGTAGCTGTCCATACATGTGAGAATCATCAAGCGAGGTATTTGACGTTCGAGAAGAGTGATGTAGGTAGCTGAACTGGCTGCCATCAGACCAAGGACGTCCATCAGAGCAATCGTACATTGAGCGATAACTTCAAGTCGGTATTTCTGCTAAATGCTGCTTGGCAAAATAGCATAGTGGAACAAGTCACTGCACGAGGGAGTTCTCTCTGCTATTGTTGTTGCACCTGTTGACTCCAGTTCGACTATACGCACCATTGGCTCGTTTCGTAAATTGCCATGATCTCAAGGTCGAGATTATCGGCTCATATCACTATAAGGTACGCCGTTGTGTGAACGTCAAGTAGTTTTAAGCTGACCGACCGATACTGGGCATCTCATCGGTCAGCTTAAAACTACTTGACAAATGTAAGCGACGGCTACTACATTTACAAGAAGATCATAGAAGCCAATCATAACAAGCTCCTTTCTCACGAACCAAGAGGCACCGAAGTGAGAGCAAAGTGAAAAGCTGTGTGATGTTGCTGCCACCACGTAATATTACTTCCTAGAAGGAGTGCACAGATATAATGGACATGGTGGCGTAACACGAAATTGGCATGACATCGACCGAGATGACAATCACGTTTGAAATGCATGAACAACATGAATTGTATTGACGTGTTATCGCACTCTGTGTTAAAATTAACTAGGTTGCGGAGCTGATGCTAAGAAGAAGATGGCTTACGGCCGGGGATGAAAACCGAAAAGTGAGTTGTATTCAAATTGTTACTAGCTTCGAAAACGAATGGCCTGTAGTAGCCGGTGGCTCTCAGCCACCTATTTCGTGCCCTGTCTCCACCGCTTTCTGTTTTACCTATCACTGGGTAATTACGTCTCGTAAATACCTTTCGTAAAAACTCTGCTGTGTCATATGCAGAATGAAAACGATTGCGTGGGTGGGCGACGTAACTGCGGGCGGGTCACAGTTCTGGTGAACCCCAAACACCAGGTCGTGAGTGTCAGTCACAATTAACTTGTTCACGGCGGGGATCGAACCCGCACTCACCCGCGTGGAATCTCCCTTTCCAAAGGACTGAACCGATCCGATGACTTGTCGTTTCGCTAACATTCCACAATATAAACCTGCCAAAGAACAATACAACTAATGCAAATATGCAATATACACCCTGCACAAGTCGCCGCATCATCACTCGCTAACACTCTCCCTTGATGCGCGTGCGACGTGTGCGCCCTACACCGCCATGCACAGACCCGTGATGAACTTGCTGTGCTTGTCTCTTGGAAGTGCCTTGGTGAATCCATCCGCGACCATTTCTTCTGTCGGCTTGAACTCGAGCGCGATCACTGCACTTGCAACCTTTTCACGCAAAAAGTGAAACTTGATGTCGATGTGCTTCGTGCGCGAGTGGTACACAGGATTCTTGGCCAGCGCGATGCAACCTTGATTGTCTTGAAAAATCGTCGTCGCGTTCTTCGCACAGTAGTTCAGGTCCTTGAGCAGACCTTGAAGCCAAACTGCTTCCTGCGTCGCGCTGTACAGACTCATGTACTCTGCTGCCGTACTTGAGGTCGCGACCGTTGGTTGACGCTTCGAATTCCACGATATCGCGCTTCCGTTTAGGAAGAAAACGTATCCTGTTGTCGAACGCCGCGTGTCGAGGTCGCCAGCCCAGTTTGCATCCGCGAATCCGATCAGCTCTCCCTTGTTGATGCCGCTAAACACGATGCTTAAGTCTTGAGTCGTCCTGAGATACTTGAGAATCCGCTTTGCTGCTGTCCAATGCGACTTGTCGTAGCGCTCGCAAAACTTCGCAACTTCGCCAACCGCATGCGCAATTTCCGGTCGTGTACATTTGGCGATGTACATTAAAGCGCCCACCAGCTCACGGTATGGGTACTTTGGTACAAACGCTTCCTCTTGACCCATCTTGATGAGCTTCGAGTTACTGTCCGCCGGCGTGTGCACGTCCTTGCAGTTCTCAACGCCGAACTTCTCCGAAAGTCGCTTGATGTACGCCTTCTGGTTCATCTTGATCGTTCCATCACGCTTGCGATGAATCTCGATCCTGAGGCAGTACTTGAGATCTCCAAGATCTTTAATGCTGAAATCTTCCATCAATGACTTCTTGATACTTGCGATGTGCTCCTTCGTCTTGCAGAAAATCATCAAGTCGTCCACGTAGATCACGATGATGCTGTACTCCTCTCTTGTCACTCGAACGAACATACACGGGTCCGCTGTACTGCTCTTGAATCCTTGATCAACCAAGTGCTGACTCAACTTGTTGTTCCACTGCCGCGCCGCTTGCTTCGTCCCGTATAACGCCTTCTGCAGCAAACACTTCTTTTTCGGGCTTCTTTCATCTTCAAATCCGTCAGGTTGGTCCTCGTAGATCTCCTCTTCCACTTCGCCGTAGAGAAACGCTGTGTCAACATCAACGTTTTCTGCTTCCAGATCTTCAGCTGCAGCGATCGCCAACACTGTGTTGATAGATTCCTTGCGCGCCACTGGTGCAAAGGTCTCGTTGTAGTCGATGCCAGGACGCTGTGTAAACCCTTTCGCAACCAAGCGTGCCTTGAACTTGATGATCTTCCCACTTGGATCGCGTTTAATCTTGAAGACCCACTTGCGGCCTACGGCCTTCTTGCCCGGTGGCATGTCCACTAGCTTCCATGTGCTGTGTTCTTCAAGCGACTTCATCTCGCTCTTCATTGCCTGTAGCCACTGCTCCTTGTAGCTGCTCTTCATTACTTCTTGATAGCTGGACGCTTGTTCCCCATCTTCTTCAGCCGAGAAACAGTAGAAAGAGTCGAAGTCACCTTCGTAGTCGTCCAAATTGAAGCGACCGCGACGATGACTTGGAAATTCTTGTTCGTAGCGAACCACGCCGCGCTTCTTCCGAACCGGTCGTACCATCCACTCTTCTTCTTCATTTCTTCCGGGTGTGCTGGATGCGCGCGTAGGAATGGTGTCGCTTGGTCGATCACTTGGTCCGGGATGAGAGCTGTTCTGCTCTCGAAGTGTTGGGGTGCGCAGCTCTTCTTCGGTCACCGGCGCTGGTATGTCTTCATCATCGGGTAGCGACGCCTCCACACTTTCCTCTTCTTCAATGACATCGAAGACCCGCGTGTCTCTGCTTTTCGATGCTTTCGAGACAGAATGCTCAGCAAACGTGACGCTTCTTGAAATCACGATCGAGCCATCGTCCGCGTTAAGTAGCCGATACGACTTTTGGTCCTTCGCATAGCCGAGAAAGAAACATCGCACGCCTGAGTCGTCCAGCTTCTTCCTCTTCTCCTTCGCCACATGCGCATAGCATTGCGCACCAAACACGCGCATGTGATCGATGCGCGGAACCTTCTTGAACACCATCTCGTGTGGGCTTGAGCTCTTGTTCGACGCGTTCGGCAGAATGTTTCTGATGTCTGCCGCTGTCATTAGTGCCTCACACCAGTACGACTTGTCGAGACCGCTTTCCTTGAGCATGCAGCGCGTCATCTCCACCAGCGTGCGGTTCATCCGCTCCGCCATCCCGTTCTGCTCTGGGTTGTACGGAACCGTGAACTCTTGCTTGATGAACTTTGCCTTGCAAAAGCTGTTCATCGTTTCGTTCCGGTATTCGCCGCCGTTGTCACTTCGCAACACCTTTATCTTCGTTGCAGATGCTGTCTTGACATCTTGGTAAAACCGCTTGAACGCACTCGCAACGTCGCTCTTCTTTCGCAACGGATAGACCGTTACATACCTGCTCTTCATCATGATGAAGGTTACGGCGTAACTGAAACCAGACTTGGACGCTGGCGTGATAGGTCCGAGAACGTCGGAGCACACCACCACGTCGGAACGCGAACTCTCCCTGGTTTCAGCGTCTTCTTCACTTGTCTTGAATGACTTGCGCACTTGCTTTGACGTTGCGCATACGTCACACGCAACGTTCGTCTTCATCGTTGCGCCCTTGATCCTTCCATCCTTGACCATGGCATTCAGCGTACCATACGACACGTGACCCAGTCTTCTGTGCCATAGCTCTGTATCGCCTTCGGCCATGTGGCACTCCGTACCATAGTCAGCATTGAGATACAGGAGGAACCCCTGCTTCCTTCCTGTTGCGACGGGTGTGCCGCCACGCTTCACCACGCACTCGTTGCGCTTTATCTCCACTGTCATGCCGCGCGCTGCCGCAGCCGTGAGCGAAAACAGGTTCTTTGACAAATCTTAAACGTGAAGTGTGTTCTCAAGGCGAGCGTCGATCCACGCATGTCCTGTCCAGACGCGCAGCTTCACTGTCCCATGTCCAATGACATTCAGCTTCACGTCGCTCTTTGCGCTTGAAATACTGCGCGCATGATGCACTTCTTCAGACTCTTCGAACGCATCTCGATCCTTGCACATGTGTGCTGACGCGCCACTGTCCATGACCCAGCTGTCGCTCGCGAAACCTTCGCTGACATTAAACGCGACATTCGACTGGTCATGCTGTTGCTCCCTTGGCCCTCGACCGGAGCGACAATCTCTGGCGTAGTGTCCGACCTTGCCACAGTTGTAGCAGGTCCCTGATGGTCCCTTCGCGCGCCGTACTTGTTGATTCTTCGTGCAACAAGAGGGTGGCGAATTGTGCATGCATTTAAAAGGTATTCGACACGAGGTCGAGCTTATACCAGGCTCGAAGTACTGTGTCATGAAGCAGTGGCCACTGCCTCGTGAACAAGTACTTGCGATCGACAAGTTCTTTGCCGATCGTTTAGCTGCGGGCCATGTGAGGGAATCAACTTCCCCACATAGCTCTCCGACCTTCTGTGTGCGAAAAGCAACAGGAGGGTGGTGGATAGTGCGTGCGTTCAACAAATTGAATGCTGCAACGGTACCGGCTCAGACGCCGATACCGAGGAAGGACGTAATCATTGATGGTATGTCAAAGAGTACCGTCTTTTCGTCCATGGATTTGATGGATGTCTTCTATCAGATCCTGATGCGAGAACGGGATTTACTCTATACCGCAGCTAGCACGCCTAGCGGCATGCTCTGGCTAGTAACGCCACAAGGGCTTAGTAATGCCCCTGCCACGTTCAACAGATGTGTATCACATCTGTTGAGACCAGTACGAGAATTCGCGCCGAGTTATTTCGATGACGTATTCATCCATAGTCGAGCTATGGATGAAAATTCGGATGTTGAGGTTCACAGGTACCACGTCCGACAGGTTCTTACAATCATGCGAAAGCATCAATTTTATGGAAACCTCAAGAAGTGTATATTTGCAGCAAGCGAAATACCACTTCTTGGGTGCATCGTTGGTAAGAACGGTGTACGTCCTGATCCCGAAAAGATCAAGACGATCACCGAATGGCCTGTGCCGGTTGATGTCAAAGGTCTTCGAAAATTCCTCGGGCTAGCAGCGTATTTGCACAAGTTTTCACGCAATTACGCCGAGATGACTGTACACCTCTCTCGTTTGTTGAAAAAGAACGAGAGGTGGTTATGGAACGCTGAATGTCAGCGCTCCTTCGATGGTATTAAGCATAGCTTGATACAATCCCCAGTCCTAGCAATAGCCGATCAGGACAGGCCATTTCATGTGGTCTGTGATGCCAGCGATTTCGCAATCGGCTGTGCATTAATACAGTACGATCTTGAAGGCGTTGAACGCGTCGTCTGCTATCAGTCGCGTCAGCTGCAACCAGCTGATCGGAACTATCCAGTGCATGACAAGGAACTCCTTGCCATGAAGTATGCACTCGCGAAGTTCAGAGTCTATCTATTAGGAGATAGACCCTTCATTGTTTACACTGACCATGCGTCATTGCGCACGGCAGTGAACAGCCCGCACCTTTCACAACGATTTGCGCGGTGGTTGTCATTCATTGCGGAATAAAACTTTAAGGTAGATTACAAACCAGGACAACTTGATGTCGTTGCTGATGCACTCTCATGTCGTCCCGACTTTGAACCAGTCGTGAAACCCAACAGTGAGACAGTCACTGTTGCGGTTATGACGTCATCAGTACCATCTTCAACGTTGTATGATGATGTGAGGCGGGCATACGCCCAAGATGGTGAGATTGTGAAGTTGCTGACACATCTTGCACAGCCATCTCGAGAATCGTTGAAACGATTGTCACCTGCGTATCGATCTGCATCAGATCGATTCACTACTCGTAACGGTTTACTGTATTATACAGCCGTTTCTGGTGACACACCACGTGTTGTCATTCCAGATGATACTGATCTGCGTTTGCGGATCATGTTCGAGTATCACGATGCCCTTGTAGGAGGACATCGTGGCCGGGAGAAAACATATCTCACGGTGAGTCGAGACTTTTACTGGCCCCGCCAGTATCAGTTTGTGCGAAAGTATGTTCGCGCATGCGAAGGCTTCCAACGAGTGAAGTCAAGTCCTTCACTGCGTGCACCTTTACAGCCTCTACCGGTTCCGGCTGAGTGCTGGGAATCCATCTCAATGGATTTCGTCTTCGGGTTACCCAAAGACGCACGCGGGAATACGGGTATTCTCGTATTTGTTGACAGATTCAGCAAAATGGTACACCTTGTGGCTTTACCAGAGACAATCACGGCAAGTGGCTGTGCTTGTGTCTTTATTGACACCATCTTCCGACTTCATGGGTTGCCCCGTGAACTCGTATCAGACAGAGATCCACGATTCACTGCTGATTTCTGGCGTTCCGTGTTCAAATCACTCGGAACGCGCTTGAAGATGTCGACATCTGATCATCCAGAGTCAGATGGTCAGACGGAACGTGCCAATCGTGTCCTTGAAGAGATACTTCGAGGATACGTACACTCCTTTAAGAGTTGGAGTGATTTTTTGCCAACGGTAGAGTTTGCCATTAACAACTCGGTGCATGCGTCCACGACCCATACACCGTTTTACGTGAATGGCGTACGCCATCCGCGTGTACCCACCTTACTAGAGTGTAACTCTGGTTTAAGGGGGGGAGGGACTCGCGCGAGCAAAAACCGAATTGGTTCACGCTCATCACGCTCTGACGAAGAGGTCATTGCGTTTGATGCCGATATCGATAACATCAATATCGAAGAAGATGATGCCAGTGAGAGTGCGGAAGCCCTCACTGAAGAAAAGGTTGATGTTGCTGCAGTGCTCTCACAGCGCACTGAAGCTAACGAGTCATCAGATGAGTTCATACTGGCTCGTGAAACGGTAGTCCGTTTTGTGCAAGACTCCATTGCCGAAGCGGTGGATAAGCAAAAGCAAAACGCTGACAAGAATGGAAGGGCAAACACTATTTTTTTTAATAAAGGTGACTTAGTCCTACTGTCTACGGTTAATCTACCAAAGCATGACGTGACTAACTTGGGTAGTAGTAAACATCTACCCAAGCACATCGGCCCATTTCGTGTATTGCATCGCCTAGGCAACGCAGACATGATCAAATTTCCACGTAAGATGTGAACGCATCCCACGTTTTACGTTGGTCGGTTTAAGCCGTACCATCAGTACGCTGCTTCTTCCGATAAAGAACGCCCTTGCTCTCAAGCATCTTGCAGAGAGCCTTGTGCTCCCGATGGTGGGCATCAACAAGGTTCTGAAGAGCAGCATCCTCATCCCGAGACCGATCAACAATCCCACGAGCTACCCTTAGCTCGTCATGAAGAGATGTCAGAGATCTCTCGTTCTCAAGCTGAGCAAAGGCAAACTCAGCTCGATGCTTCAAGACAGTGTCCCCCATTTGGAGACGCCTGTCCCGCTCATGTTCGAGACCACCGTGTAACCCTTGCGTTACGCGATCAAAGAAGCTCTCGGGAACACACCGATCCACATGATCGTGTGGAGAGCGTCTTTCCTCCTCCTCCTCCACCTGCATTAGAGGACTCTCGCGGTGGCCAGCGCTATCTAGTTGATCAGCTGTTGAACCACCGCGACGTGAACGGACGTCGGACGAGTTATCTCGTCCGGTGGCGCGGCTATCCCCCGTCCTGGGATTCTTGGGAGCCCCGCTCCCAACTGATGATCGACGTACTGGGTCTGGTCGAGCAGTACGACGCGGCACATCCTGTGCCGCAGAAGGACCGCCGGAGAAAGTCTTCCCGGCACGGTCGTAAAGGGATTTCAGGTTGTCTTCGTACATCTCACTAGAGATACGTGCGCGCCACCACGGGCTAGTAAGGAGGTAAGCCTCCTTAGGTGCTCGTGCAGAGTTGTTCACACGACATGGGCACGAGTCTCCCCATGAGAGGCAGGGTAATCCTTTCTCCCTTGACAGACGATGCAGATTGTAGCGTGCACCTGTCAGGGTTCGCTTTTTAAAGGTATCACGAGCTTTGATAAGTTTGTCGTTCCAAACGTCACGACCTACATCCTCAAGGTTATGGATGTAAGCGTTCCACGCTTGAAGCAGTGAGGGACCATCACGCTTGTGATTACCACTGTACCATCGATGTCTAAAGAAAGCATCGATGAAGAATTCGTTTTCAGCGCGATAGTTTTTCGCACTGGGGTCAAGGTGATGGATCCTTGACGAATCGAACAACCGTGTTCGATAGCGATCACTTGTCGTCGCCGACAAGTGATCCATGACAGATTTGGGAGGCATCCATGCCTTCTTCTCGTTAGTGAGACGCAACACATTGCGTTCCCGCTCTTCCTGCGACTTGCCGACAGAAGTACTGGCACCTCGTTGCGAAGTGGTGTCCATAGGAAAGCCGACACCACTGTTAGCGCCCGAGTCTCGCGACCTCGAGCGCCTTCGCTTCGGCGATGGTTCATCTGATTCATCAGATGAACCAAAGATGCTACGACGCATAGCATCATCCATGCCACGCTTAGCAGGCGGCTTGGATTCGATCGCCGTCAATACGGATCCGTCTTCCGTATCAGGAGAGTACGAGACACCGAGCTCATACTCTGTGAAGACATGAGTGTCTTCATGATCAGCGCCTGCATCACCAAGTGACACAGGCTGAGTCGCTTCAGCAACCGATGAGACATCAGTTGCTGTGGTTTCTGCTTCGGCGTCCACACAGAGACGTGCGGACGCGCTCTCGGCGGCCTTGCTCGCGCATCGCATGGGCTTGTTAACCATGCGATGAACTATTGGAAAGTGGACTCGGACCAACAAGTGCAAATCCTGTCCCAAATGATTTGGGACGAGTATCCATTAAGTCAATCAGTCACTTTAGTGACTGATGGTTAAGGGGGGGTGATGTAACGGGGTGAATCCTTGCATAGCAATTTATAAGAAATTGTTATTAGAATATAACTATAAGAGTTACATTCTCAGAATATTGTCATAAGGACAAATATTCTGTAGCACTTACGAGTAGTTCCTAATTGGTTGATATAGGCCATTATATCAACCAACGAAGACGCGCCACGACAGACGCACGCAATGAGTGGTGAGCAGATAACTGATTTACACATTTGTATTTAGACATAGTTA